TTGAGCCATGAATTTCAGGATTATCTGAGAGAAAATGGAATTCTCTCGCAGTTTACTGCTCCTTACACACCACACCAAAATGGTGTCTCCAAAAGGAGAAACAGGACCTTGTTAGACATGGTTAGGTCTATGATGAGTGAGACTCAACTTCCAAAATCATTTCGGGGATATGCCTTAGACACAGTGGCATACCTTCTAAACAGGGTACCGTCTAAATCTATTCAGACCACACCATATGAGATATGGAATGGTAAGAGACCCAACCTGAGTTATCTCAGGGTGTGGGGACCGCCAGCTTATGTCAAGACATTGGCATCAGACAAGCTTAGTGCTAAGAGTACTAAATGTCTTTTTGTGGGGTATCCTAAAGGTACTAAAGGATACTACTTTTACTCTATGGATGAACACAAAGTGTTTGTATCCTAGAATGCTGAGTTCCTTGAGAAGGACTTGATCTCTCAAGGAGCCAGTGGGAGTAAGATTGATCTTGAAGAAGTTCAAGAACCACATGAACAGATTGAGGAACCCAAGTCTGCTCAGCAGGCGACGTTCTCTGATGGAGAAGTAAACACACAACTCCGTAGGTCTACGAGGGTCATCCATCCACCTGAGAGGTATGGATTTGTGATTGAGAATCAACAAACCGTTGAGGATGATGAACCAAGTAACTACGAGGAGGCAGTCAAGGATGTTGACTCTTCCAGTTGGCTTGAAGCCGTGGAATCTGAAATGGATTCGATGTATCAGAATAAGGTTGGTTCCTAAACCGCAAGGAATAGTTCCTATCGGAAATAAATGGGTCTTTAAAAGAAAGACTGATGCAGATGGCAATGTTCAGACCTACAAAGCTAGGTTGGTGGCGAAAGGGTATCGTCAAAGACAAGGAGTTGACTATGATGAAACTTTCTCACCAGTTGCCATGATCAAATCTATAAGGATCATGCTTGCAATAGCAGCATATCACGACTATGAAATTTGGCAAATGGATGTCAAGACCGCCTTCTTGAATGGGTTCTTGAAGGAGGAAGTGTACATGACACAACCTGAAGGCTTTGTAATCAAAGATCAGGAGCATATGGTATGCAAACTTCAAAGGTCGATATATGGGCTAAAGCAAGCATCAAGGAGTTGGAATATTCGTTTTGATGAGGTCGTTAGGAGTAACGGTTTCATCAAGAACGAGGATGAACCTAGTGTTTACAGGAAGGTTAGTGGGAGTAATGTTGTCTTCACAGTGCTTTATGTAGATGACATATTGCTTATAGGAAATGACGTCCCCACATTACAAACAAAGAAAGAGTGGCTTTCAGAAAGCTTCACCATGAAGGATTTGGGAGAGGCGGCCTTTATACTTGGTATAAAGATCTATAGAGATAGATCAAACAGGCTGCTGGGTTTATCTCAATCCACGTACATTGACAAGATGCTAAAGAGGTTTAGCATGGAAGGGTCAAAAAAGGGTTTTCTACCTGTCAGTCATGGGTTACATCTTTCAAACGCTATCTGTCCAAAGTCACAGCTTGAGAAGGATCGCATGAGTGGAATACCATACGCTTCGGCTATTGGGTCCATCATGTATGCCATGATATGTACGAGACCAGATGTTTTATATGCTTTAAGCATTACGAGCAGATACCAGTCTGACCCTGGAGAAGGTCACTGGACGGCAGTCAAGACCATCCTTAAGTACTTAAGAAGAACTAAGGATATGTTTCTGGTCTATGGTGGGGTTGATGAGCTAACAGTGAAAGGGTTCACTGATGCCAGCTTTCAGAGTGACAAAGATGACTGCAAGTCACAGTCAGGGTTCGTATTCACCTTAAATGGTGGGGCAGTATCTTGGAAGAGTTCCAAGCAGGAGACAACAACAGATTCAACGACAGAAGCTGAATATATAGCTGCTTCAGAAACGGCTAAGGAGGCCGTGTGGATCAAGAAGTTCATATCTGAACTTAGGGTGGTTCCAAGCGTGGATGAGCCCATACAGTTGCTGTGCGACAACACTGGAGCCATTGCGCAGTCAAAGGAACCTAGGTCTCATCAAAGATCTAAGCACGTGCTCCGCAGATATCACCTGATTAGAGAAATCATTGATAGAATGGATGTAAAGATGGATTATGTTCCCACAGATGATAACCTGGCTGATTCTCTGACAAAGGCTGTTTCTCAGAGAAAACATGATAGTCATTATGAGGCTTTGGGTATACGACTTAGGTCTGATTGGCTCTAGGCCAAGTGGGAGCTTGTTAGTATTTGGGTGTCCTAGAGACAATCTTATGATTAAATAAGGACATAGATGTAGACCTTTTTAATATTGTCGCAAATAAATAAAAGCACTCTTTATCTTGTTTCATAATTCTGTCTCGATATTAATGTTAATATATTATGAATAACTTGATAAACCCCGTGGAATAAAATAGGTATCTCTTGAGTATCTGTGATGAGATCACAATCATGAGGATTCAAGAATACCGGATGTTTATTCCTAATTTTATGTTCCTAGTCTAGAGATACTGAGAATGGGGTCAGTAATCTCATGTAAGACTAGCACGACTTATCTACTTGTATATGGATACAAGGTATAGACCTCATGTGCTAAAAATATGGAGATGTCTTAGCTAAAGTCGTGGGTGGACCTATAAGGGTATAGCTCGCACTGAACGGACCCACAAAGAGACTCTATGAGGAAATCTCACAGATAGTATCATTAGAATAGTCTCTATATATTTAGGTATGTCTTTCCTTAGACCAAAAGTTATCACTTAGACTCTTTTCTAGAAGGCATGCCTTGATTGTATACCTCGTCTGCCTGAAACATGGAGACTCATAGGTATGCTCTTGGGCTTGTCCTGATAGGGCACAGGGCTAGGGTAATAAGCTGAAGGAATTCGTCAAATCTCCGTGAGAGATTAGGTTATCCTTAAACCGGAGAAATCGAGATGACATTTACAGTGACTCGGGAATCTATGCATAGTAAAAGAGATCATAAGATGATCTTCCTTTAGAGTCAGTAAATTGAAGACTCCCTATTTCATAAAAAGCTAACCCTAAACCGCAAGGGATGATACGTTTCTTTACCCTAGGTTTTATGGGAAGGTAACCGAGACGAAGGGACAAACATACGGCAACCAAATATGTTTAATAGGATGATCAAATCATTAATCTAACTAGTTCTGGGGCAACAAAGCATTGCTAGTGCTCTGTGTTGTCATTAGATGGGTGTGGGCTTATTAGGCCCAGGCTCATTTATGTCAGTGCCTATGTTGGACATAATGAGTCACACGCAAACACCTAATTGTCTAGATGCTCTAGCATTAAAGGTATTGAGCCTAATAATAGTTATTAGCCCAAGAAGTTGTTTGGAACTCCACCTAAAGGGGTGGAGGGCGCATGGATCATTGTAATGGGCTTGGATAGTCCAAGTCATTACTAATTAATTTAATTAGTTGAATTAATTATCAAACATTTAAATTTTGAATTTTAGAATTTAAAATTTGAATTTTGAATTGGAATTTTGAAATTCGAATTTTGAATTTGAAATTTGAAATTTGAAATTTGAAATTTGAATTTTGAATTCGATTTTGAAATTTTAATTTGGAATTTTGAATTTTGAATTTTGAATTTGGAATTTGAATGTTTGAAAGTTTGAATTTGAATATTTGAATTTAAATGATTAAATTCGAATTTGAATTGGCTATGAAAAATTGTTTCATTACAAAAGGACAAGATGAGATCTTGTTGGAAAGGGACAAGATGAGATCTTGTTGGAACATAACAAGATTAGATCTTGTTGGAACATATCAAGAGGAAATCTTTTGGACATAATCTAAGAAGATTTGGGGCACTGATTTGGCTATTGGTTAGTCATCATAATCCGCTCCAGAAGATACGATCTGTTGGGAGAATATTTGAGTGATTTGATTCAAGTTTGAATGCAACTACTCAAATGTATCTGGTCATTATTTAGGCTATATGGGGCGCACCATATAGCTGATTATATGATGATTTATGATCAGATATTTGATTAGGCTTTGAACCTAATATCATAAAGATATGATAGGATGTTGTTGGCAAGATTTGATAAGATTTGATTTGCAACAAATCCTCTTATTTCTCCTTGTTGGTGCGCCCTTTCGAAGGGATTTTTTAGGATTAAAAATCTGATTGCATCATGATTCTCTTGATCACTTCTTGTGCGCCTAATAGCATATAAGTTCCTCCTAGGGTTTTGTAAAAAGTCTAAGCCATTCTCTCCTTATTCCTGCGCCACTTTTGTGAGGTTTTCTCTCAGAAAATTTCACTCTTCTAAACACTTTTACATAGTCTCCTTTCATCACACACATCGAGCGAATAGCAAGCCTTATTGTGGTGATCAATCAGCGGCTTTACTGGAAGGAGTTCCTGTATCTAGACTCGTGTGGTGTGGATCAACGTTAGAGGGTCTGAACCCTTCAGACCTACCTTGATCATCTTGAGTTTTCACGAACAAGGTATGACATACGTCTTAAAGTATGTATCTTGACATGCATGTGTATTCCGCTTGCGGAAAAATTTTGTTTTTCCCTCTCACTTGCTACGGCCTTCAAGGTCAATTTGAACTTTCACGCTGGTGGCTTTTCCGTGTTTCTGATGTATTCACAATCCTCAGTTGCATGAGCCTCCTGACAAATATCATATTTAATGTTAGAATTAGAAACAGAAGAAACTTGAGAAAGATTAAATTTCTTATTAAGGGCATCTAATTGTTCTTGTTGTTCCTTGTGCATTTGTTCATTGTGGGCTAAGAGTGCATCATAGCCTTCAAGCTTCATAATTCCTGATCTTCTGGGTGCAACTGGGGCTGGGGCATTGTCAAACTCTTGAGAAGCTAAGGATTCCATCAATTCTAGCGTTTTTCTGGAGTTTTTGTTTTCAGGGAGCCTCCTGAAGCGACATTTACCAATGTTCTTGTGTTGGCTGTCATCCCTTGGAAAAAGATTCTTGCCTTCTCACATGCTTCAATTCCGTGTTGAGGACACTTCCTTTGTAATCCTTTGAATCTTGTCCAAGCCTCGTACAAAGATTCACTTTCTTTTTGTTTCAAAAGCTGTGATCTCCACCTTGAGCCTAGCCATATTTGAAGCTGAGAAAAATCTGGCCAAGAATTTAGCGGCTAAGTCATCCCAACTGGTTATGCTTCCTTCAGGTTGAGACTGCAACCAATCTCTTGCTTCATCTTTCAGTGAGCATGGGAATAGCCTAAGTAATATAGCATCACGAGAAACTCCATTTACTTTTAATGTATCACAGTAAAGCAAAAAGTCATCCAGATGACAACAGGGGTTCTCTGTGCTTCCTCCAGCGAACTGTTCTTTTTGAATCAGTTGCAATAATGCCGGCTTTAGTTCAAAGTTGTTAGCCTCAATGTTGGGTCTAACAATGCTCGTTGTCTGTGGAGCACGAGCTGGGGTCATGTAATCCCCCAATGTCCTTCGAACAATTTGATTGTTGTTTTCTACCATCGGTTCTTCCTTAGGTTCCTCTTTTGGTTTTTCCTTTGTTTCCGTAGAAGTTGATGTTGTTTTTGTTTCTTTCGCTTTCTTTGCTTTTGCGTCTTTCCTAAGTTTCCTCTCTGTCTTTTCTATCTCAGGGTCAAACTGCAAGATTCGCGGGTTAAGAGTACCTCGCATAAACTTAAGATTGAAAAGATGTGCAGAAAAATAGAAACGCAAAACAGAAAAAAAAAATTAAAGAAAAGAATGCAGAAAATTTAAATATGCAGAATTTTTGGATGCAGAAAATGTTTTATAGTATGCTTAAAGTGCAGAAAAAATAAACGTCCAATCTAAAATTTAATTAGTTACTTCTAATGTTGAAGAATTCGATCCCCGGCAACGGCGCCAAAAACTTGATAGCGACTCGGCAAGTGCACCGATCGTGAAAGTAATAAAGTGTACCGGAGTACGAGATCGTTCCCACGAGGATCAGAATTTCAAGCACTAGTTCGCTAATTGTGTTTTAGTTGGACAATCAAAGGTTTGGTTTGAGAGAATTTAGATGAAGAGAGTTGTGATTCAAAGAACTTAAAATTAAAAACAAGTAAAGACATGCAATATGAAAATGCAGAATTAAAAGGATGAATGAAGATGATGTTTGATTAAGATTTAAAACAAGCGTAGTTAAGGTTTCGACTTCCCCCAATATCCTCAATATGTTATGAATTAAATGACCAAGAATCTGTTTCTTAATATATTGCCAATCAATTCTATCTAAGTTAATTACGACTCAATTCCTTGTTACCATAAATCTATGTAATCTTGAAAGAACTCTAGTTCCCCGATTATTCCCCAAGAAAACATGCATTAAGATCAAGAATGACAAGATTGCATAATTACCCTATGTCTATTCATATTCCTATTCCTAGATCACAAGGATTATGATAAATTATCAAGTCAAGGTTCATGCACCAACATCCCTATTGTCATACAATTCCCCAAAATCATTCTATAAGGAACAAACTCATAGAAAGCATTAAAAACAGATAATTTATTCAATTATAAAAAGAACAGGATTCAGAGACAATTTAATTCATAAACATAAAGATTCAATTGGGTTCCATCTACCCTTAACTACATAAAAGACTACTCTAGCATACTGAATTGAAAAGAAATAATAAAGAAAAGAGAACCCAAAGCCTCCATTGGTGTGATGTTGACTTAGTTCCTCAGTGTTCCAGTGCTCCGCAACAGGATTCCTCCTTCAAGCTCTTTGTAATTGTCAATTGGTTTCTGAATTTGTGTTTAAGTCTTGACCTCAAGCGAATTTATTTATAGCTTTTTGGAATTGTATTCTTCATTAAATCTCCAATGAATCCATATCAGATTTGTGGTTGATTTCATCTTTGTTTCCTTTTTGCATTTGATATCTTGGAAATTGGAATGAAACTGGTGTCACATTGAAGATCTGTGATAGGGATCACAATCATGAGGGCTCAAAGACACCACACGTCCATTGTCAGAAATATTTTCCTAGTCTAGACATACCGATAATTGGGATGCAAGGTAGAGTCCTCGTGAGCTGCAAACGTGGAGATGTCTTAGCTGACTCGTCGGTGGACCTATTGGAGCATAGCTCGCACTGAACCGACCCACAAAGAGACACTATAAGGAAATCTCACAAATAATATCAATAGGTGATGTCTTTTATTATTTGGGTGTGTCTTTCCTTAGACCTGACGTTGTCATATAGACCTGCGCTCTGTAGGGGTTGCTTTGATTGTATACCTTGTCTGCCTGAAACATGGAGACTCGTAGGTATACTCTTGGGCATGCTTTCTAGACTCAGGCCTAGTGTGACAAGCTGAAGGAATTCGTCAATCTTTGTGAGATATTAGGTTATCTGCAGACCGGTGAAAACGAGATGACATTTACAGGACTCGGGAATCTATGTATAGTAAAGGAGTCATGAGATGGCCCGCTTTTTAGAGTCTGTAAATGAAGATTTCCTGTTTCGTCAAAAGATAACCCTAGACCACAAGGGTTGAAACATTTTCCTTGACCTAGGTAAATGGGATGGATAACCGAGACGAAATGACAATTTACACGGTAACCAAATAGGTATAACAGGTTTATCATTCGATGAACTCAATTAGCTTTGGGACAACAAAGCATTGCTAGTGCTCTGTGTTGTCATTAGATGGATTGGGCCTAATGGGTCGCACACAAACATCTTAAGTTGTCTTGAATTCTAGTATATGTGGTTTGGGCCCAATAAGGCATAATGGGCCTAAGTTGGAAAAACCCAAATATTAGGCCAAGAGAGTGTAGGTGGCATCATGAGTCAAGTTAGACTTGATCCATGATGTAACCTAATTAATTTAAATGTTAAATTAATAAAATTAATTTTTATTTTTATTTTAGTTTCAAATTTCTAGTTGGAAATTTAAATTTTAAATAAAATTAATTTAAATTCTAATTTTGAATTTTGAATTTAAATATACTCATTAAATTATATTTATATTTATTGAAGATTGGAAACAAATCAATTGGATTGATTAACCAAAACTAAGGAAACCAATTAATTAAATTAATTTGCTGAAATTGGGGAAACAAATCAATTGGATTGATTGACCAAAATTAAGGAAATCAATTAATTAAATTAATTGGCTGAAATTAGGAAACAAATCAATTAGATTTATTAACCAATATTAAGCAAACCAATTAATTAAATTAATTGGTTGAAATTTGGAAAACCAATTAATTGGATTGATTGGATAAAATTAAGAAAACTAATTAATTAAATTAATTGGCTGAAATTGGGAAAACCAATCAATTGGATTGATTGGATAAAATTAAGGAAATTAACCAATAAGATTGGAATTTGATAAGGGCGTTGATTTGACTTAGTCTTAGGTTAATGAGGCGCCATATCTATATATAGCCCCTCTTCTTCCTTAATTTTGTATCTCTTCTTCTCTAATTTTCTGCTATCTTTCTCTTAGAATAGCCAAAGGCACCAACCAATCTTTATTATTCTCTTGAGTCTAGAAATCTCAATTGAAGGATATTGGGTATTCGAATAAGTGTTCTTCTCTTACAAGACAACAAGGTGATGTTGATTTCCATCGAAGGACTTATGTTCTTCAAGTTTGAAGAATTGATCAAGAACGCATCTGGTCATGAATAATTATCCGAATAAAGGTATCAACTTTAAACCCTTAACATGTCTATTGCATAATTCATGGGTTAAACATGATTGAGGGTGGGCAAAGGTTGTTTCTTCCGCACAAAAAAAATTAATTTTCCTTTTTTATGTTCATGGCCTATAAAGGGCTACTTTCAGTTGTATGGTCTAGGATTGATGGGTGGTTTCCACTGAGGATTATGGTTTTGTTCTTCCTGTATAGTGCCTCCAAAATTTGGGTTGCTATTGCGACCTGCATACTGGTTATCTCTGGCTTGATTGAAGTTCCTGCTCCCAATTTTTTTTTGCAAAACACACCAAAGCTGTTGAAAGACAGTCTATTGAGTCATGTTTGTCACCACACGCTGAACATGGTTCACTTTCTGGGGCTGTGAGTTGTAAAACATTGACTTTCGGCTGATTTCTGTCAGCTTTTAAACTCTTCACTTCATTCATCATGGCAGCTAGTTGAGCTTCCATGGCAGTTTGTTTATCCAACTCTAGCATGCCTGTTTCCTGACTGGATTCATCCTTTCTAGAGGCCACAGAAGGCAACGTTCTGCAGTTATTTCTATTATTTCATATCTGGATTCAAGAGTTCCTGAAAAGAAATATCCTTCTGCAGCAAATTTCAAGTGAGATTGAGAAGTATGGTCTATACCCTTATAGAAAGTCTGTAAGACTCCCCATTTTTCTACCCCATGGGTTAGGATATTTTCTGATAATGTCCTTATATCTCTCCCACGCTTCAAATAGATTTTCTCCATAAAACATTCTGAAGCTAGAGATTTCAGCTCTTGCATCAGCTTGACGGGACATAGGGAAGAACCTCTCTATAAACTTATCAGAGAGTTCTTCCCACGAGTGTATAGATCCAGGGGAAAAGGATTTTATCCAAGCTTTGGCTTTTCGATCCCAGAGAGTGAGGGAACAACCTCATTCTCATACTTTTTTCTGACATTCCCTCTGTTCTAAAATTGTCACAAATATCTTGGAAATTGTTAAGGTGAGTATATGGATCTTCTGCAGGAAGTCCATTGAAAATTTTAGCTTCCCAAATCATATTGAACATGACAGGTTTTAGCTCAAAATTAGGAACTTCAACAGGAGGGAGAATCACTCCTCTTTTTGGTCTGTTCCTCGAAGTAGCAGCCAATGCTCTAAAGTTCTATTCAGGAGGAATCTCTTCATTGTTGTGATTATTATGATTAGCCATTTTTGGTTCAAAATTATTTTCCCTTATATCCCTTCTTATTCAGTGAAAATTATGTTCTGGTTTTGGATCAATGAAAAACGCAGGTATGCCAGTGTGAAAATAAGAATCAATTTCAGATTCCTCACTCGTAAACCATAAAACATAAACAATATGAACAACAGTATGAATATTAAAGAATAAAGATTTGTATATTAACAAAATATAAAGTTGTTTCGCAATCGACAAGTGTAC